GGCACACCCTTTTCGCTGGCCTCCCCCCCCCTCCCCCCCCACCCCGTGTCACCTCCTCCCCGTCCCCCCCTGTCGCAGTTCGAACCGTGTAACTCTTCCCGCTCCGGCTTCTTCCGTGTGACACTAGGTCAACATCTCTCCTGTCTCCTCTTATCGGGTGTCGTGACTCTCTGAAAACATCTCACTCCAAAAATTTTAAGTTTTGGGTTTGTTCCTAATTTTTTTTTTTGGGGGGGTTGGGTTTTTTTTTTATTATTATTTTTTTGTAAGTGCCATTTGTATAACTTAAAAAGAAAATAGCTTCAAATGGAGAAAGATGAATAAAAAAAAAAATAAAACCTGCATTCGGATAGGAGCGGTGGTGCGTAGTCTGTTGGGGTGACTGCGGCTGTGGCTGCAACAACCTTTTAACGAGAGGCGTGAGCACGGAGCATCGCATCGGGGGTGGTGGAGGAGCCTCTGGGGGCCAAATTGCTTCACAGAGGTTGACCCGAGGGGTGGAGGGCTCAGCTGAGTCGGTGGGAAGGGCACGGTGGCCGACGGGCTCATCTCCCCCAAGCGGGCTTAAAGCCAAAGCTGGCCGGAGGCTGGGCCACCTCTCGGGGTGCTCAGAGTGGCCATAAGCCACCGAGCCCACAGGTCTCTTTGAGGATGGTCCATCTATGGGTCAGGGAGATGTACCACCATACCATCTCTCCTGCAAACCACCTTCTCCTGCAGTTGGGCAGCGCTGCGCAGGAGTTGCTTTTTCTCCCCCTGGTTCCCACCTTCCCCCCCCTCAATACGATGGCCCCAAAGGGGGAGACACCCACCGAGAGGGGCGAGGGATGGGGTGATGGTTTTGGGTGGACGGCGTGGTGGGAGTCAGCAATAAACTCCCTCCTCCGCTCAGTGATGCGGAGAGGGGGAAGATTTAAAAAAAAAATAAATCCAAGGGGGTTGGGGAGGTGGGAATCCCACCCGGTGCAGCTCAGCCCAGGCCAAAACATGGCGTCCGGCCGGTCAGAGGAGCCGGGATGGCCGAGACGTGCTCCCAACCCTCCCAAGATAGCCGAAACCAGCCCTAAAACTCAACCAGCCCCCCCCCAGCTTGGACGCTGGAGCCAATCTCAGTTTTGGCTATGAAGACGCAGCGCAGCACATGCTCATGGAGGGGCCGGGGGACACCTCTGTCACCCACGCCGAGAGCCACCAGCCCTTTCGCTGCCCTTCATCTCCCTCAGCCCAGCTCGGCTCCTGCAGGTCGCCGACGGGCTTTTAAAATCTAAAGGTGGTTTGCTAGAAGCAAATTTTGGGAAAGGTGGGTCCGCTCAGCCCCTGCAAAGTACATCCCGGGGGGGGG